TGCTTGGGTTCATGATTTGGAGCCTTGTCAGTGGATTCTTGTCCATAAACTATTATCCTGTGTTACATTTATAAATGTTACAATATACTGTCTGGCGGCAAGAAATCGAATTCTGATAAATAACTTGAAGCTCCTATTCTACAGTGAACAGTGTAATTATGTTAACTTTTTTAAATCAAAGAGAACCAGTGGATACCAATGGAAGGAAAGAGTAGAAGGGGATGACCAATACCAAGATGGATGGATTTAATTACCATGACAATGGACGCACCTTTGAAGACCAGGCTAATGACAGATCACCATAAAGAAAATCTATCTATGTGGTCACTAAGGGTCCACCCAAACCTGATAGCACGTCATCAATAAAACAATTGATCAAATGGGTACCAAAAATTTGTACTAAGAATGGTAATTAAATTCTGTCCCTACTCCATATTCCCAAGCAGATGCAAGGTTAGATCTGAATATTTATTACTGTTGAGAAGGAAGCCATACCTATGATTGAGTGCAACTAATAGCAACTCAGAATCCTGCCTTCTGTATGTACTAGTTCCCAGGTTTAAATCCTGGCCTCTTCTTCCAGCCTTTTTGAGTCAAGTCACACACTTGTTGACTTACCAGGTTTGAAGGTTTCTATCATATCTCTTGCTTATAAAATGATTTTCCCTGGCATAAGAATTAGAAAATATTTCAACGCTTACAATGATAGATATGAAACTAAAAGGAGACTTTTCCTCCGTCCCATAATACTAGATTGGCAGTGGACTTAAAATGTATCTTTATATAATGCATTAATTAATGGATTCAGTTACTACAAAATACAATGGTGGCCATTGATTTACAAGGCAATTGAGACAATTGGACAATCATAGATGACACTAGCCTCCACAGATTTAGAATGTAAGTTGGCACTGAACACCGCTTGTTTGGAGAAAGATTCTAGGAGACCTCTTACTTTTATGGTATATTGAAGAACTACCCATATGTATTTTTCTAATCATTATAAAATAGAATACTGACTATCAGAAGCCTTTTGATTTTTCAGTGTTCTCTGTAATTATGATCAGAGTCACTTCAATGCATAGATATTTTTTACTAACTACACATTTCTCACTGTGTAGAACTGGTAATGGAAAAACAATTGTGTAGATTTTTTTAGGTAGAATTAAGTAGATTTTAGATGAAAGAGATAATGCAAGAAGATTCAAATGCAAAAGTATATTCACCTTTTCAAAATTCTCACACTTAAATTCTTAAAATTTTACAGCACCAAAATTTGGCCCAAGCACTTAACACTACATTTTTCTTTTCACAATACTCTACTAATTTTAAAAGTCTAGCTCAATTATTATGCAAGATGGATGCCAGATTTCTCTTGGCAATCAGTTGTGCAGATAGTAAATATTCTGCAAAACCATGTTGGATTGTAATCCTATACAAACACTGTTGAGAGTAATTCTCATTAAACATAGTAAGGGTTCCTTCTGATAAGATACAAACTGGATTGTAAAGTTCTTGTTTTTATTCAGCATACAAGACACAGCAAGAAAGAAGCTATCAGCGTCCACAATTTTCAAGTACTACCACAATTTTTTTATTTTCCAAATTGCGTTCAGAAATGTTAAGTTTCATATTGCTTTCTGATAATTTCCATTACATTTGTAGTTTAGATCTCCAGAATAATTATTCTCTAGCTATTTTTTATTTTTTATTTTATTATTTTTATTTATTAGGTTTGTATGCTGCCCATCCCATCTCGATAAATTATCAGATTCATTTATTTTCTGCAAAATGTTAGATTCAGATACACAACACCTAACAAAGCTGAAGATTTCCCAAGAGTTTTGCCCTGATGTTATTTTTAGATTGACACAGATGGGATGTACTGTAGATTTATTCTCTCCCAAGTGTTGAAAAAAAAGCACCTGGTCCAACTATCACTGCATTCATTCAAATCATTGTTCCTCTGATAAATTTGCAGAGGCATTAAAATGTACTTAGATGTTGTTATAATCAGTCCAGTTAGAGATGGCTCCAATTGATCTGAAGTAAACTCAAGCCAAAAAGAAAAAGAAAAAAAAAAGAAAATCCTAAAAATTGCCATAGTGGAAAACTTTATCTTGGATAGTTGGAGGAAATAGGGGGTTAAAAAGCATAGAAAGCAATTCTATTTCTCAGGAACTATGTAAAAATAGTTTTATGGCACTTTAATGATTAATCAATTTTATTATCAAATAAGGTGTATGGATTGTGTCAGCTTCTTCAAGTCATCTGAAGCATAATGAAAGCATAAACTGAAAAAGGATTTGTTGTTAAAGCAGCAGTCTGAGGCAAAATATGTATATGATAATTTTTTCATTGAAGAATCTATTCTAAAGCATGCTGCTATGGAACTGAATAGTTCTTTCTCCACTATCTCTCTCCTCTTGTGGCCTCACATCTATTACATTGCTATATAGCAGGGTTGTCAAACTCAAGGCCTGGAGGCTGGATCAGCCTGCAGAAAGGCTTAGATCTGGCCTGCGCCCTGGAAACAGCGAAGGAACAGCCCCTCAGTGCCTCTGCCAGCAAAAACGGAGCTTGGGAGGGCCACATGCACCCCACCACACAAGCTCCTTTTTTGCTGGCAGAGGGCTGCAGGAGGCTGTTGTGGCCAAAAACGGAGCTCATGAGGGCTGCACAGGGCTCTACCAAGCTCCGTTTTCACTAGCAGAGGGTTGCAGGAGGCTATCGCAGCTGAAAACAGATCTCAGGAGCCCATTTTTGCTGGCAGAATGCTCAGGCCACTATAGGCGCCTCCAACACGAGTGACCTTAAACTAGCCATGGCTACCATGGCCATGCCTACCCCAGCCCACCAAGGTCAAACACAATCCTGATGCAGCCTTCAATGAAATAGAGTTTGACACTCCTGCTAGATAGGATAACACAGTCCCCTAATTTGATGGAAGTTTGAAATCACATTTATTTTAAGAGTTTTCTGCTAAATTGGATAGGCTGCTAACTGGAAACAATTTTAACCTCAACTGCTACAAAGATACAGTCTTCATGTTTTGGTTCATTCTATTTATTTATTTATTTTTAATTTTGTATTATTGACATTTTATGAACTACTGAAAGCCTGAAAGGCAGTTGATATATATTTAAAATAAATAATAAGCAATTTCTGTAGAGACTAAACTTGCTCAGGACTATTAGCAGATGCCACTTAAATAATTTGGACTTATTTGCAAATAAATGTGATTAAGCTGTGATGAAAACTCTACACATACATTTGTAGTAAATTCCATTAAATTAAACAGTTGATAAAACACATAAACTGAGGCTAAAGAAACTATAACATGAAAAATTGATAAAGCTAGGCAGCTAGGAATTAATGAATTCTGTTACATTATTAAATATGTATACTGGTAAATATTTGTGGTTTCTGATTTTTTTCCTGTGGGGACTTTTGACTATAATAAACTTTTTACCAGTAGTTCCTTACATTTCTTATTGAACAGTTTGGAATTTTGAGGTAAATAATAGAGAATTAATAATCAGCTTCAATAACATATAAAAATAGCATGTAAAAACATTGCATAGACCAAATCATCTATACATTTTTAGTCATTGCTTATTTTTAAGCATTAAGTAAAAATAGTAATAGTAAAAAAACCTATTATGTCAATAAATACAACTAAATGTCTAGTTTAGTAATTTCATTTTACACTGAAGTTATTTTAATAGATTGAGCCATCACTAGATTTAAATGATTTTGACTGCAAAATTCCAAATTATCACTAGATAGTAGCAGAGTTGCTATTTTCTGTATTGTTTTTCTATTATCTAACAGTCAATTTTTGCATTTGGTAACTACCTCAGCTGGTACTCTTTGGGTTTATGGATGTCTGATCACATATTTGGGGGAAAATAGAGCAGACCATGTCAGGAGAAATCCTGACAATAAGGTGGTGTAAATGTTTATGGTCAGAATAATCGTTGTAAGAATTTTATTTTTTCCTATTACCATAGTACTACCAAATATATAAACAAACCGGGGCTGAAGAGTCTACAGTCCACTTCTTTCATATAAACCATGATAGATTCGTGATTTCTTCCAAATCGTCAAATTGTCACAAATGACAAAGCAACCTTTGTGTTTAAGGGATATATTGTTGCTGCTTCTGTGCTGCCACATCGCTGCACCACTGCACTGTAAAGATCGATTGCAGTCAGGTAATATCATTTCCAACCTTCTACAAGAAAAGTCAAAGGGAAAGCTGGCTTACTTACTCACTTCAACGTTGGTTGGTTGGCTGGCTGGCTGGGGAATTCTGGAAGTTGAGACTCACACAATCTTAAAAGTTGGCAAGCTTGAGAAATACTGGCCCTACTTCCTCCACCCGTCCCAATTCACACTGGCCCAGAAAAATAAGAGTTCACCTAATACGGGAGAGAATGAAGTCTTTAGCACAGAGGTCTCCAAACTGGGCAACTTTCAGACTTGTGGACTTCAACTCCCAGAATTCCTCAGCCAG